TTTTAAGGTTAGGTTTTATGTAAGCTAACATTCAGATTAGCTTGATAAGGATGAAGCAAGCTAACTAGTGTTTTTTAAGCTAACGTGCATGTTAGCTTAGGTTGTTTTGAGCTGACGATATGAAATATGCTAACGTATAAAGTAGCTTGTGATTTGAAAATGGCGAATATTAGCTTTTTTTTTTAAAGCAGCTCCTTTGGAGCAAATTCTATAAAATACTCCTTTTAAGGTTAGATTTTATTAAGATAACATCCAGATTAGCTTGATAAGAATGAAGCAAGCTAATTTGTGTTTTTTAAGCTAATGTATATGTTAGCTTTAATATGAATTAAACTAACGTTAGCTTCTGCCATACAGCTACATAAAAAATGACTTTTTAAATTGGTTTTTAGCCTTTTTGACCCCATTTTTTATTTGTAGCTCATTAACTTACTTCTCATGTTAAATCATCATGTTTTACGGATTATATTTTGTTATTAAGTTGTCATGAATGTGAATTGTAGATAATTTCTTCTTTTGGTAAACCTTTTAAGTATAGTAGTATATCATATATATTAATAACGGTATATTTGTACAATATTATTTCTTTATTTTACGAGTCAGAACTCCTTTAAAGTGTTTCTAAATGCTCAACTTTGAATTATTTCCACATTAATACGACATGTGACCCATTTCCTCGTTACTGTGTGAGCTGCTTGATGAGCTTTTTCTTTTTCTGGGAATAAAACAAACACAAAACCACCTTTTATCTCTCTTTTTCCTTTAAGTATGAGGAGTTTGGTATTGAATCTTGTCCCGGCGTCGTCCCGTGGCCTCCATCCACCCACTCAGTCACAACTCCGACCAAATAAAAGCCATTCAGCGTCTGGGCTTTATCACAAAACAGGTTTAATTTAATATCTCTTTATTTTTTAAAATAATTAAACATTTGTATTTCTCCAACCCTTTTTTAATCTTTTTTTTTTCCTTTTTTTTTCTCTTTTTTCAGCTTTTAAATCATATTATATCTGGGCCGTTCTAAAGCACACATTAATTCTGCGAGGGAGGAGGGGGGAGGTTCTGCTGTCAAAAAAAACAAGTTTTCTTTATTTTTACCCCCCCGCAGGGCAACGAGATCTGCCCCCGGCCTTCCCCTCTTCCACCCCCTCCTGCCCTCCTACCTGCCCCGACCCCTCCCTTCCCTGCACTAAAAAAAAACAAAAACAAAAAAACAAAAAACAAACAAAAAAAAAAAGAAAAAAATATTTCCAATGGTGAAAAGAAACTTCATCAAAATATCCAAAATGAGATAAAAACCAAAAGAGGGCAACAGAAAGAAAGCCGACTAACGGGGAACACTATCATAAATACCAGGAAGTCTTGTTCCATAATACCTCTTTATATACTGGACACTCCTCTCCACAGGGTCCTACGCAAAACAAATCTAAAATACTACAAGATACAAGATTATCAGTGTACTGCATTCAATAACAATGTACAGGGTTCTTTTTTTGTCACTGCTGCTGTAATACTGTGAGTCGACGCGGCGCCCCCCGCTGGGCGACCAGGACAGGTGAGGACAGGTGAGGACAGGTGAGGCGGGGCGCTCGTCGTTTCACACCAGGAGGAAGATTTTTGGCGACTTTTTTTTTTCCTTTTTTTGTTTTTTTTTTTCGTGTTGTGTGTTTTTTTGTGTGTTTTTTTCACGTAGCTGAAAGTCCCCCGTCGCGGCCCAACGGCGCCGGTTCCAGACCGGCAGCCGACGCACCTGGAGGGCAGGTGAGGAGGAGGAGGAGGAGGTTTAAAAAAGAGGGCGGAGTCAAAGAGAGAGAGCGGTCCTGTTGGCTGGAGGAGGAGGCGAGGCGGCTGTGTTTACATGCAGCGCTCAGGACTCGGAGGAGAATCGGAGCGACGAATCAACAACGACGGAAAATAACCAAGTCTGGCTCGTCTAGCATCAAATATACGACTCAAAATATAAGACTCACGTCATACAGGACACGTTTGTTGTCAATTCACAAAGACTTAACGTCTTTTTGACAAATTGGAGTAACTCTGGACGAGTTATGTCACTGAGAACAAATGTTAGATCTTCAGAGTCATTTTAGCTCCACATTTGTGAACTTTAAAACAGAAAATAAAAGTTTTACACCATAAGTGATGCAAATTTGGGTAATTTGTGTGTCAAATATGCAAATTTCTGGCATTTGTTTGAATCCAGATGCTCCTGTGTGATAAATATTAGACGTTTCGAGTCATAATTAACTTTTTTTTTGTCATTCTGTCAAAGATTCAGTCTTTGTTGATGGATCTGAGTAAAGTTTCGTCACTGCGAACAAACGTTAAATCATTCTGGACACACTTTGAGTCTTTCTCATCAAGTCAAGAGAACTTTCAAAGGGAAAATAACAGTTTCACAGCGTAAGTGATGCAAATTTTGGTTAATTTATGCATCAAATGTACAAATTTTGGGCATTTTTTTTTAGCCCAGATACTCCTGAGTGATAAATATTAAAGGAATCAAGACAAATTGGACAATTTTTTGTCATTTTGCACAGATTTAAAGTCTTTTTTGACAAATCTGAGTAACTCTGGATAAGTTATGTCACTGAGATCAAATGTTAAAACTTCAGTCATTTCAGTTTAGTTTATGTGAATTTTAAAATGAAAAATAAAAGTTTTACAGCATAAGTGACGCAAATTACAGGCAATTTATGCATCAATTATGCAAATTTCTGGCATTTGTTTGAAGCCTGATGCTCCTGTGTGATAAATATTTTAAGTTTCGAGTCATGATAGACAGTTTTTTGGTCATTTTGCAAAGATTCTGTCTTTGTTGACGAATCTGAGTAACGTTTTGTCACTGAAAAATAAGACTTTCACAGCGTAAGTGATGCAAATTTACAGTAACTTATGTGTCAAATGTACAAATTTCAGGCATTTTTTTGACCCCAGACGCTCGTCAATGATGAATATCTATGAGGCTCGAGTCAAACTGGACAAACTTTTTGACAAATCTGAGTAAATCATGTGGCTGTGAGCTGATGTTAAATCGTTCTGGTTCAGTTTTTACAAACTCTAAAATGGAAAATAACAGTTTTACAGTATAAGTGGTGCAAATTTTGGATCATTGGTGCATCCAATAAACTAATTTTGGGCTATTTTTTGACCCCAGACGCTCGGCAGTGATGAATATTTACAAGATTAGAAACGTTTGTTGAACTAAACGAGTTATTGGTTTTATTTTGAGTCGTTCTGTTTGAATTTGTGTTGTATTGCACAGATTCAGAGACTTTTTTTTTGAGTCGGTTTTGTCGCTGTGAACAAATGTTAAATCGTTCTGGACACATTTTGAGTGGCTCTGGTTGAGGTTTTGCGACTCTAAAACGGAACATTTATGGTTAAATTACAGATTTTGGCTCTAATGTGCGTTGTTGTGACCTCAGACTTCCCCATGAGTTAAACCTGTGTGTGATCTTATTCTTATTTGGGTATTTAAGCCACTGTTAAGCTGGATTTTCAGCTTCCTGTCTGTGTTTTATTCGCTGTTCACCACCGGGTGGCACCAAATCAACGACAACAGATTCCTGCACACAGGATTTATCATCAGGGTTTGAATTCTGAGCACAAATTTAACGGATACACAGGCTTTTAACGGTTTAACCACCTTATAGAAAATAACAGCTTCATAGCAGCGGTGGTTTAATTTATCTGGCTTATTAAATTGCTAAGTTGTGGCTCCAAAACACACATCCTGGTCTTTAATTTGTGTTTTTCCTCCTCAGTCACTCCTGAGTGGTGAATGTCTACAGGATGGTGGCGTTTAAATCGTATTTAATGAATATGTTCAGTCTGCGGCTGTTGTTTTATTCACCGTTTAACAGCAGATGGCGCCAAAGTAAAGGACAACGGAGGCGGTTAAAGCAACACCGGATTCTCAGTCAGTAATTAAAATCTGTGCACAAGTTTAAAGGAGCGTCTTTGTTCATTCTGCTGCTAAATAATAAAAGACTCGTGCACACATCGAGGATGGACGTCGCTTCACTTTCAGTTAACGGTTATTTTCACAGTCGATTACTTTTTTATGGTTTTGGTCTCAAAACTGTCGATCAGCATCTCGTTTAGTCCAAAAATATTCAGTTTAGCGTCACAGAGGAGAAAAGAAAACGAAAATATTCACATTTAAGATGCTGGAATCGGAGAGTTTAGGGGAAAGAAATGACTAAACGCTGCAGCTCAAACTGTAAATACTTTTCTGTCATTACACCTGAACAGGTAAAAAAATGAATCAGGTTAAAGGATAACGAGCGATAGAATGAGTTAACATTAGCTCACAGTCGTATGATTGACTCAGATTTGTCAAAAAATTCATCCAATTTGACTCAAATCTGATCAAAGAGGAGCGTCTGGGGTAAAAAAAAAAAGCCTAAAATTTGTATATTTGACGCATAAATTACCCAAAATGCTCCAGTTATGGTGGGAAACTGTTGATTTGCATTTTAGAGTTGGAAAAAACTCAAACATCTGCGACTTTAAGGTGAATTCTGGGAGTTTTAGGAGACAGAATTTTAAAAAGTTCCTCCTGAAGGCGCATGTAAACACACCGAGAGTCCCTGTTGTTGTAGTTGTTGTTGTTATTGTTGTTTAACGGGTGATCCTGTTCGGAGGGGGAGGCCGGAGGGGGAGTCGAGGAGGGAAAACAAAGATGGAGGCGACGAGAGGAAAAGCAAAGAGGAGAACCAGGAAAATAAAAACGACTTATGGGACCGAAGAAGAAGAAGAAGAAGAAGAAGAAGAAGAAGAAGAAGAAGAGCGGGATGAAGAGTTAAAATCAATCTAGCTTCTCTTTTTTTGTTGTTTTTCTTTTTTTTGTTTGTTTTCCAAGAGTTCATTTCATGTCCTACAGTCCAAAAGGTTTTGTTTTTTTGTTTGAATCCCCTCCCACACAAGTCATTTTCTCATTTTCTATTTTTTTCTTCCTTTTTTTTATTATTATTATCGTTTTGTTTTTTTTTTTTTCCGTTTGCAATAATATCAGTTTAAGGGAAAAAAAAAAGAAAAAAAAAAGAAAAACAAAAGAAAATAATAATTATTTACAGTGCTGCTGAAATAATGAGAACAGACGTGATGAATCTACTGTAAAGTAAGTCGCACAAACACAGGAGAAGAAAAAAACATAAGAAAAAAAAAAAGAACAATTAAGAAACCGGCGGCGCCGCGAGTCGACCCGGCGGCGGCGCTCCGAGTCGGGAGCGGACATGGCCGACGTGGGGGAGGAGGAGGTGGAGGGGAGTCGATGGGGGGGGGGGGAGGGGGGAGGCGGAGGGGAGCCGGCAACGTCGTCGTTAAGTGGGGATGATGCCGTCGCTCCTAAGGCCCCGCTTCAGCTCCAGGTCCTCCAGCTTCTTCCACAGCTCCTCCCGCTCCTTCTCCTTCTTCTTCTCGCTGGAGACACAAAACAAAGATGGAGAACGGCGGCGGCAACGATTAACGACACACTCAAGACGACTCGTAACAAGAACCTGGTTGGAGGTCAGAGGTCACTAAAGGTCGTACTGATACGACCTTTAGTGACCTCTGAGCAGCTCTGATGCGACTCGTCAGCGTTCTTACACCTCAGCGACTCGTTTGAGCCCCAATCACACATCTGGTCACTAAAACAGAACAAACGCCCAGCGTGTTTATACTGAGTCACTAATCAACCACTTCCTGGTTCCTAACGCCGCTGATATGAAAGTAAATCATTAAAATCTGTAAATAAACATCAACAACAGTCATCACTCAGTCTGAGCTACAGAAACAAAACCCAAAGTTTAGTTTTGTGTCAAGATTACAGTTGAAAACAAATCAGCTTCAGGTTCAGAGCTGCTCTTCACTTCACCAAAAATAACCAAAATTAAACCAGTTTTCAGAACCAGAAACTGGAAAATGAGAAAAAAAATTCTGTGATTTTTAAGTGTTAAAGAACTCAAGATGTGCAGAGTGGTGTTAACGAGATAGTAATTAGCTATTAACTAATTAATGAGTAACGCTGTAGAGAACCTGAGAAATGCAGACAGAGGAGCTTTAGTTATTATTATTATTATTATTATTATTATTATTATTTTGAATAATTTTGAAATGTGAAAGCTGGTTGATCAAAGCCAGACTCCTGCAGATCTCACTCTGAATTCTGGGTAATTAGATTTACTTTAGCTTTTCTAATTACACTTGAATCAGTCTGAATAGTTTAGAAACTGTTCAGATCAATAATAAACCTTCACTGCAGGTGAGTGAGACACTAATTAAACTCTTCACTGCTTCTGTTTTAGTCACAGTTGCTCTGAAGTGACAGAACTCTGTGAACCTTTTCAGACATGAATGAAGCCTGTAAATGATTCTCTGCTGCTGGTGTTTCCTTCTATCAGACCAACATCTAACCCTAATCCAGATGTTCATGGAGCTGCTGGTGCTTCCTCTGCTCTCAGATCTCCTCTATCAGACCAACATCTAACATCTAACCCAGACTATCTACGGAGCTGCGGCAGGCGTCCGTTCTTACCGCTGGCGGTCCGACTTGTAAGTGGCTGTGAGTTCGTCGAATAAGGTACTGTTCATCTCCATGAAGGCCTTCAGGACGTTGTAGACCAGCGCCACGATGGCCCTACGGCAGAGGAACCGGTACAGCTCAGGGTTACAACACGTCCACACAACAACACACAAAGTCTGAAGCAGCGAATAAACCCACAAATCAAACCTGTTACAGTCGCTCTGGACAAACTGAGTCTTTATGGTCCAGTTGATGTCATATTGAGCTGCTTTAAGTAGCTCTGGACGAGTTTCAAGTGACTTTAGGAGAACTTTGGACAGATTTGGGTCAAAACTGAGTGATTCTGAACAACTGTTGGTCATTCTGGACAAATTCTTGACTCATTTTAGACAAATATCGACTGATTCTAGACAGTTTTTTGTCATTTTGAACAGACGTTACATGATTTCTGACGCATGTCGACTCGTTTTTGATGCACTTTGAGCGATTCTGGAAGAGTTTCAGGTAACTTGGGACAGATTTCGAGTTGTTCAGATTCACATAAGTTTCTTGATTTTACAAACACAACCTTCTACGTGTGACAGTCTCGCAAGTTGCAGCCGAGGTTTAAAAGCGTTCGACCAATTTCCAGGACGTTCACGTATTTCTCAACATCAATTACTGATTTTCACCATAAACTAATGGATCTGACCCTCCTAACATCATGATATGATGTCACCACTGATTCGTACGAAGGCTGCGTCGTACGAAGCCAAACGAACCGTTTCTGTCAATCTGATATCAAAGTTTAATTTCCTGGATCCAGCCGACGTTTGACAGAAAACATCTGGTCACGGCTAAAACGTCACGTGTTCACATCTGGATCCTTTAAATGACGACTTCTATCTGCGCTGGAACCTACAACACTTGGTAAAGTGTGACGATGTGACTCAGCTCAGCTTCTAGTTGTCTTAAAGAGCTCCTGATGTTACCGAATGTTCATCTGGAAGCTTTTAGTTTCTTCTACAAGGTTTCTTCTACTGACGGCTGAAATTTAAGAAAACTGAAGCAAGAAATAAGTCCACATGGGAGCTCTGAAGCGGATATTTCAAGCTGAATGTGTAGAAGTGGCTCCACTCACGGGTTCCAGTGCTCTTTGGAGATCCTGTAGAGGCTGGCGAACATGATGGGCAGGATGACGCTGGAGTTCTCCTCGATCAGACTCATGATGTACTCGTTGTTCCAGTAGTACAGAGCTCGTTCTGCCACCTGAGACCAGACGGGGAGAAAAATCACGTTAAACGTCAGACATCTGTTTCAGGACCAGACGCTCTCGGTGGAGAGCGAAGCCGAGCTCTGACCTGGAAGTGTGGGCTGGAGACGCATCTGGAGATCTGTTTGAACAGCGGCTCCTGGATCTTGACGAACTGTGTGGGTTCGATGACGTCCAGGATCTCCTCCAGCTCTCCTAGAAACATCACCTGCAGCAGCACAGGAAGCGTTAGCAAACACGCCGATGACCACGCCGACGCCGACATGAGAGCAGGAAGACATCGGACAACTCACCTCTTTTTGACTGCAGGTTTTTGGCCAGAACTTCAGTAAGCCTCTGATGACCTGGAAGATGGAGAAGAATAGAGTCAGATCTGGTTTTTGGTTCATCGTCAGCTTCTGGATCTGACGTCTGAGGATCACAGCTGAGAAACTTGTGCACATCTTTAACACGAGGCTTTTTATTCTGAGTTTGTGGTTCATATTTCTGCTACTCTGGTGTTTCTCGTCAGAGTTTCGTTGCTGCTAACAAGCTGGTTTCCTCGTTTTCCCCCAATGATAATCAGTTTATTCTCACAGCAGAGGAAAGAAATCATAAAATATTCACATTTAAGACACTCTGATCAGAGAATTTTTCCACTTAAAAAAAGCCTCAAGCTGTTTAACGGATTATCAAACTAGGTAATCGACTCGTTTTTGCAGCTTTTCACTTTAAATACAAACTTAATGAGTTAAAAGTGTTGGAAAATGTGTGCTATTTAAAGTGGACGCAGTGACACAGCGAATCTACATGAATGTATTTGAGCTTTTAGAGAAATCAGGTTGAGTCAGAGCGGACTGGTTGGTTTAATTTAAAAGTAGATTACTGGCATAAACGATGCGGCTCCTCTACAAAGCAGACGTTGATGTAAGAACGTCCACGTCTTCTGAGAATTCATCTAAAATCCGTCTTTTATTTATTATTTCATGAGTTTGACAGTTAAGCCGACGTGTGAGGAACTTTCACCGCCAACAAGACGTGAAAATTAGAAAAAACTTCAGAGCGTTTTACTAAAATGGAAACAAGTGATCTGACGAGGAAACAACTGGGTTTAATAGTGAGTTTAGTAGCTCACAAGTACTTTTTCGTTTGGTTTCGTATGTCCATTATCCAGAAGTATGTTTTTATAGTTCTTGAAGCACCAAATAAGCTCTAAAAGAAGAAGCTATCCCACTGCTATCCCACTGCTATCCCCACTCCTGCGACTTTGCAAACGCACCGTTAAACCTTTAACGAAACACAGAAGAGCAGGAAACAAGCTGAACTTACTGGTTCTGTTAATGTTGGGTCTTTCTCTAGGAACTGTACAATGCAATACGCCAACTGTGGAGCAGAGCAGAGCCCAGGTTACGACACGCTTTGAAACTTCAGCAGCGATCATTACAGCAGCAGCAGCAGCAGCTCAGGTGAACACAACAGCAGAGTTTCTCGACCTCGTAGGAGACGTTCGTCACGTTTACGTCACATGAGATGAAGGACTTTCTGTTCAGGAGTCTTTCTGTGACGACTCTGGATGTCATTTGTGTTTTTAACGAGTAAACGTGCCACATTTTTCTCATGTCTCTACTCAAAAGCACTTCAGATCAACTTGTTTTTGCTTTAAATAGCAAAGTTTCCCACATTTAAGCAGAATATATCTACTTGATAAAAAGGAAGCTTCGATTTTAAGTTTGCAGTGATGGTCACATCTTTATATGTGATTAAAAAACAAATAAATAAAAATCATCAAAATTACACCTTTCATCAAAGCCAGAAACTGTAAAAACAGAAAAAATCTCTGGCTTTTTAGCTTCCCGGCAGTTCTTGAACTGATCCTATGTGATGTTACAGTTCTGTCGGGAAAATTAACTTCAAATTGAGATGTTTCATCGACCTGTCACATTTAGAAGTTCTCCAAACACACACCAGATTCTGCAAAAAAAACTAAAAACTCTGAGCTGTTCAGTGACAAAACAGCCAAAACTTCAGACTTTGCAGGTGAAACCCAACCTACTGGATCAATAAATAAATGCAGCATGGGTCAGAACCAGAGAACAGAGGAGCCAGTTGGTGGAGATACATCCAGCATGGAGGAACATCTTTCTACATCTGATGGTGGAACATCTTTCTACAGATGATGTCTACAGAGGCTCTAAACATGAAAGTAGTTGAACATCTACAGCATCTGGAGCCTCCATTGTTGTTGTTTTTCCAATTTTTTAAGAATTAATAAAAGAAAATTGAACTTTCATCTCATCTTTTTTTTTTTTTATGGTTTTCAGCGCTGTAACTGCATCACACTGTACAGAAGACATTTACGATTGTTCTGTTTCCATAACAGGAACAAAAAAACTCCCTGAAACTCCACCTTTAAAGACAACACTACAGGATTTAGTTGCTGCTGTAGTTCAGGTTCAAACTTCTGTTAATGACCGTTAGCATTTAAAGCTCCTCCATTTGTGGCTTCAGGCGTGAAACATCAACACAAAACCAGCTTATTAGCAGCTTTGAAGTCACGTTACCTGTGCATGGAAGAGGGACAGACTCCTGACGGTGTGGAGGGGGATCAACACTTTGACCAGAAACTGTTTATGCTCCGCTTTCAGAGGCAGAGCGAAACCATTGATTATACTGCAACACAGAGAACATCAGTCAGACATGAAAGAGCTTCGCAGTGACGCCGCGAAACAAGATCAACAGTGCTGTTCATGCAGGCAGGCGGCGGGAGGAGGAACGAAACCGAGAGACCTGAGCAGAGACACAACGTGAGATCGATCGGTCCAGCACCGTCCGTTCTGGTTCACCAGAGTCGAGTTTTTATCTTTTATCGAGAGATTGTGGTGGAAAAACACTGAATCTGTCAAATCTGTCAAAACATTCAGCTGGTATTGGTGATTAAGTGAAGCTGAAAGCGGCGGCAGAGCGACACTAAACCCTCTAAACGCAGATGTCTTGTTGGTAACAGAACATAACGCGGCTCCAGCGGCTCCGGTGTGTCGAACAAGTTAATTAACAGTGAAGTCAACGGAGCTGATTAAGTTTCTGTCGTGTCCAGTTTCAGTTCGGTTCAGCCACAGCATGTCACATGTTGAGGAACATCGGAGTAGAAATACAGGATGTAAACAAGCTGAACGACAGAAAAACTGCTCATTTACACCTGTAGCTGTTTAACAGGTAAGAAAATAAAAGCATGAAGCCAATTCAGTGTTTACACGTGTCCACAAAAGTTTTGTTTTTTTTTTTTTTTTTTAAAGAAATCTGGAAAAAGCTTGTCATGAGGAGAGACTGTAGGAGGAGATTCTTCAACATCCACGTCTTTGTAAGTCATCATTAACCTCGTTGTATTTAAAATTTGATTTGTGCATGATTTCTACAGGGATAAGTTCTACAGTCTCCAGATATCTCGTGCTATATCCGCCCACTGCGCCTCAGGAATAATCACATTAACATGGAGCTACGGTCCAATCAGAAACCAGTTCACCAACAAATCCTAAACACAGTCGGACGTTCGACCGTCTCCAGATACTCTGTGGTAGGTGTACCCACTGAGGTATCTCCATACACCTCAGGAATGATCACACTAACACGGAGCTGCAGTCCAACTCTGTAACCAGCAGCTGTATCCTGTACAAACAGCCTTCAGAGTTGTTTTCTGTTTAGATTTAAGAGGTAAAACTTTCATTTGGAAACCTTGAACTGTCCTTAAAGCTGCATCCAAAACTCGTACCTTCTGCTACGACCACTACTAGCGACCACGCTACTCTGGAGTTTCACAAAACGTCGACCTTTTGACCCCATTCTAGTCTGAAAACTCTGAAACGGCAGAAACTACGACTTTTAGTCAACGATGATGTCGACTCAGTGTCTGGTTGGTTTAAACCGCCGCTGCGTCGCTCCCCGATTCTCCAATCAGGAAACACAAACATCGGCCTGGACTCCCGGCGGCTGGACGACATGAGTCATGAACTGGAGGCGCTGCTGACCTCGTTGTTGTTGTGCCTTTAAAGAAGTCTCTGTTCTGGCCTTTCTCCACTGCTGATCTTCCTCTATGAGACTTTCTACAGATGAAGGATGCTAAGTGTTCTTTTTATTGATCTTTATCTCTTGACGGAGATCATTTTTTGTTTTAAGTCGCTGCTTTAAAATGCAAATACATAAGTGTGGATGACGGACAGCAGCTAACATGCTAAGCTAAAGAGACAGTCAACCGAAAACCAGGAAACGAATATTCAAATTATCGTAGCCAATGTTGCTGCCAGTTAAACACCATAAAAGTTAACACTATTCAATTCATTTCTAATTGGTTTGTTTCTTTAACTCTACATATAAAACTGCGACTCCACTGTTCGACTGTCGTTGATTCAGTATTTTACTTTCACTTTCGTCCAGAGCTGCTCGGTCCGTTGTGTCGGTCCAGACTCTTGATGAAAATCATTTTAAGTTTTCATATTTAGACACTAAAGACTCTAAAACCTGCACTTACTGTTTATCTGGGTTTATTACCTCCACCAAGGAGGTCATGTCTTAGCTGGAACTTATCTGTTTGTTTTTTTTGTTACCAAGATAACTCGAAAATTTAGAAATGGATCTTCCTTCAATTTTCAGGAAATGTTGATAAGGGCACGACGAACAGATGATTACATTTCGGTGATGTTCTGGCTTATCGTCTGGTTATTATGTCATAAAACGGTAAATGCTGCGAAGTGTCACAGAATGCTGTGGGTGCACCGTTTGTCCACTAGATGGAGCTCTGACTCCATTCAGTCCTTCAGTCCTCACCGCTGTTTTCTCAGCAGTACAGGAGGAAGCTGCAGCCAGGCAGCATCACAGCAGTGGGCTGAGCAGAGCTACTGACAGATAAGCGCTTTGCGTGTTTCGTTGCGTCGATCACGCTTTTCATTTATGTTGCTAAAGTTGTGCTAACCTCGCTTAAGCTACTCCCTGTCTGTTAATGTTAGCAATAGCATGGCTATAGTTATGCCAACCTAGCATAGCGACTGTTCATCACTCCATCAGCTTGTTATTAATGATATCAATGCTAACTCAAATGCTAAAGCTATGTTCTGATTCTCCACGAAGCTAACAGTGTAGATAAAATGAACGCAGGACTTTAACATCGGCCGGAAACCACCACATGGTGGAAATGAGCTGCTTGGAGAAGGTCTGAACCTTCAGAGGGCTTCTCTAGTTTTACTTATATTCTGTTTATTATATTATAAACGCAGCATCATGAAGAACAACTGCCAGAGCAAAGCTGATCGACTGTCTGTTTTTTAAGCTAACAACAATTAATTCATTCCTCATCTCAGCTCTTCTCTGTTTCTATTCAGATTTTCAGTTTGAAGCTCTCCTCAGGTCTCTCTCCGTCACAATAAGAGCCTCCAGCAGAACAAAGGTCTGAACCATCCTGAGCTCAGCTGCAGCTCTCAGGTCTCTCAGAGCGCCGGCGCTAACCCAGCAGAATGTAAATAAGGGTCCACATACCTCCCCAGGATCTCCAGCAACTCAGCCACCCCGTTGAAGTGCTCCGTCTCATAAACAAAACTGCAGCAGACAGAAGGAGGAGAGAAGAGCAGAGAAAAGGTTGAACAGCTGAAGACGACCTGAAAACCAACATTCTGACTGAAAGCTGAGACACGAGAGACGGTAACTCAGCTGGACTCCACAGGAAGCAGAGATTCTTTTGACTTAAAAAACAAAAACCGTACAAAGAGCTTGTCCAGTCACACTCCTCAACCTGAAGGTTTTTTATCAGCAGCTTAAGAAGTCAGTAATGTCCTCGACGTCATCTAAACTATATGATCAATACAGAATATTAGTGGAAAGGTTTAAAGACATTTAGGACAAGTCTGAAGACAACCAGGACAAGTTTAAGACATTTATGATAGTTTTTGATTATTTAGGACAAGCTTAAAGACATTTATGAAGATTTTTGGTTATTTGAGCGAGGTTGTAGACATTTAGAACAAGTTTGAGGACATTTAGAAAATGTTTAAAGACATTTAGGGCAGGTTTCTGTTATTTAGGACAAGTTTAAAGACATTTAGGACAAGTTTAAAGACATTTATGATAGTTTTTGTTTATTTCGGACAAGTCTGAAGACAATCAGGACAAGTTTAAGGCATTTAGGAGAAGTTTTTGTTATTCATCACTGTGTCTGTTGGCCTTTAGAGCTGTTTTCGTGTGTGGCCAGTTTAACAGACAGACAAACAGAAGCTTTTGCGGCCAAAGAAGTGACGTCTGCTCACCGTAGAAAAATATTATTGATCTGTTTTCGTATAAAAGCCCTCAGCCCCAGGAATTTGCCGTAGATTCTATGCAAGACTGTCTTCAGATAGTCTCTCTCCCGAGGATCCTCGCTGTCGAACAACTCCAAGAGCTGCAGGGACGAAAGGGAAGAAACATAAGCGTCACATCACAGAGGAAGGAACTCGACAGACTAGAGACAGCAGCAGCAGGTGGCGCTGGACGCCGACTCACCTGTAGGACAAACTTCTGGTCTATGTACTTTTTGGCAATGCTGGGCTGGAATTCCTGACTCTCCAAGAACCGAATGAAGAACTCGTATACCAACTGGAGAGAGGAAGAGACGAAGGACAAGAAGAACGACAAGTTAACAAACAGTGGCGCCCAATTCGTTTAACTTCAGCCGAGTCCTGCGCAAAAAGGTTCGGTTCTGCGGCTGCTTTAACTTTCTGCTCGTTTCCGACTCAAACCAGAACGAGTCTTTGTGCAGCAGGACGACAAGCTGAGCGTTAAATCCAAGAATGATGTGTTCCTGTCAGAACCAGAGCCTTACATTCACCCTGTAGACACTGAATGTGGACCAGAGGGGAGGTCAGAGGACTCCGGGGTCACACAGGACACAGAGGGGACGGCAGGGGGAGAAAACGTTCACGCAAAGAGGACAAAAAAAAAAAAAAAACTAAAGAAAGAAGGTTTTTACCAGGAAGCTTCTCCTTGAGATTTGCATCTCATTTCTAAAGGAGTCCTGGGCAGCAGGCACACAGAGAAGGAGGAGGGGAGGTGAGAGACCAGAGAGCCTGGCTCTGAACCTGGACCCACAGCTGGACCCAAACAGAACCAACAGGAACCACAGACAACCAGCAGCTCTCTAGGTAGTAGTACGACATTAAGGACAGTGTTCCTTCTGTGTGGGGGCCGGATTAGACTCGACTATCCCACTAGTTTAGCTGAAGAAGGTTTAATATACTCAGAGGAACGACTCCTAAACAGCTGGAAGCAACAGAATCTGGATTATTTTTGAGTCTCATGTGTTCATCATAAGGACATAGTATCTTTCTAAAGGTCCGATCAGACTCGTCTATCCCACTCTGATGCTATGTGTCCACTGGAAACCCTGCTTCCCATGCATTGTGTATTTGTAACGCTCCTGTTTCGAGGCGTAGCGTCGCCCGCCAGCCGCCTGCAGCTCATTTGCATAAAGTAGACTTGACTTCTACTTTATGCACATGAGGCGCACAGGTCCAACGCCTCGCAAAACTTTCATAAAACAACTAAACCAGCCGTTGTTGAGCTAAAATGAGGACAGATTCAGCTGCTGCGTAGCCCGCTTCTCGCCTTAAATGTTTTCAGAAATACTTTCGCTGAACGGTTTACGTAATAAAAGGGAAAGTTTGCGGCCGAGCCGCCATGTTGGTCCGGTTTGAAATCCCGGAGCACACCGCTAGCGAGTCGACGCGATTGTCCAATCAGGTGCAGGCAGGATAGAAGGTGAAGAAGCTGAGGTCTTCAGAGGTCAGTATCACCGTGGACATACACACCGCCTACTGGGCCACTAGTGGCACGCCTCCAAAGCGGGCGGTTTTGGGAAGCGACGCGATCCGGCGCCAATGGACACGTAGCATCAGGCCTACTGTAGCTGAGCTGAAGCTGCTGCTGGACTCTGATCCATCCTGTCTCCACGTCAGGGATCATTTATAATTACAGGTAATGAAGCTGTACATAAACGCAGCAGCCGTCTGGCTTCAGACGGATCCTGTTGCTGTTTAATGAACTCAGAGGAAAGACTCCTGAACAGCTAGAGGCAACAGACTAAAAACAAATCTAGATTATATTCATTATTTTTGAGTCTCTTTTAGTCATTGTAGGAAATATTCTGTCTTTCTGGGGGGACGATGGGATAAATAAACACCACTGTCGACATGGCTGAGCACAGAAGCAGAACCTGATGAATGAAACTAAAACACATTTTGTCTGATTCAGGAACCCTGACACCAAATAATGATTTGTTATCTCAGTATCATATTTTGAACCTACTTACGCCATAAAAGATGCACAACTCTGTCAACCGGCGAAGCTTAGAGATCCAGATGTGTAACTCTCTGGTATCACATCACACCTTTACGTCTGTCTCAGAAACTCCCTCTAACAGCTGCTGTTTGCACATTTATGTTTGTGTGATAAAACAACTAATTAATTTACCAGATAATCGCAAACTTTGGGCTGCGTTTACCTGTAAGTGTGGCCAGGAGGCCTCGAGCGTTGGCTCATCCTCCTCAGGGTCAAACTCGTTACTGTCGCTGGGCGGAAGGGTCCGGAATATGTTGTGAGACACCTGGAAGGAATAAAAACAGGAATCAGTCAGAAGTCCTGATTCCTGCAGCTTCACTCTCAGTGGGTTCCTAATGACAGGAGTCCAGATGAACATATTAACTGGAGGCATGCATTGGTGTTGATCACTCTGGAGTAATAACAATCCAAAAAAATACATTTTGTTATCAATAACCAGCTTCTTAACTGAATTTAGAGCCAAAACAATCAGCTGATTAATCAACTAGAGTTCTGACAGAATACTAATGAGACAACATTTTGGCTATTTATTAAAGTCTAGTTAAAATTATCTTCTCAAATGAAGATTATTTCATACTTTTGTTGCTGCTTTATGATTTTAAATTCATCATGTTTTAGTTTTAGGCTCCCAAAATTAAAAAAACAAAATAAAATCCCCAAATTATTAAAGCACAACAATAATAATTAGTTTTATCTCTAATTTAACTTCTAAAAAAACACCAAAACAAGGTGGAGGCTGCGTTTATCATCCACTTCTGATGTGTTTTTGAAAATAAAAAATGCGTGGCCACGTTCTGTTGCTTGTTTTTGGAGAAAAAAAATACTGAAGGCATCATCAGTGGTTCCCAACCTGTGGTTCAGGGTCCTTTTAACAGGCCACGGCATAAATGTGGACAATTAACTGGAAATTTAATTTTTAAAAAAAGCTCCCTTCTGCCACAATAATGTGAATTTTCAGCTCCAAATTCTACGTTTTTCAGCTGAATGTTGGTTCTTCTTCCATATTTTGGCCATAAACGGAGCTTCTAACTCTGGACTGTGACGAAGGTCTTTCAGAGGTCAGAACCCCAAACGGTTGAGAAACTCTGGATTCCACCGTCTGTACGAAGCAGCTTGTTGCACAAGCGTGAAGCGTGTTTAATGCGAGCGCCGCAGCGTGAGCCCGGCGTGCCCGTCCTCACCATTTTGACCACCTCGGGGTAGGCCTGCTCCGTCAGGTATCCCCGGCTGACCGTCACGTAGTCCACCAGCTCGTTGAGCGTGGAGCGCTTGTACTCCTTCATCTTGAGGTCCGACAGCGTGTCCATGAAGTCAAAGACAGTACAGCACTGCTGCAGCTTCTTCAGGAACAGCTCCGGCTGCTCCGGCGCCGGCACGTCTGGAGAAAGAAGAAGAAGAAGAAGAAAGGAGGTTAACACATCTGAAGTTTCTGATTCGAAGCTGCAAACACCAGAAAATCAAAGACTCAGAATGAAGTGGACACACTGACGTGGACCCTGGTGGAGGAGGACGTTTATAATAAATGTAATATTCACATGAGAGGGCAACCAATGTGGTTTTAACAGGGCTGATGCTGATTATTAGTTGGGAGAACTCAATCACAATCCAAAGTCGAGCTCCAGAACATCCATCCAGCCAGTCTATCACAGGGCTGCACTTAAGAGACATAAATACACTTGATGAGATTTAACATTCTGTCTGTTTGGTGTAAACACACCACCACCACGACCACGACCACGACGTTGTGGATCTGCAGTATGTTTCCTGAAACTACTTCCTGGTTAAATGGTCGGTGAGTTCTCAAACCCTCTGAAGGCAGAACCCTCCACAAACCAAAGCGACCGCCGCCTCGGGTGGAGAAGTCCAGCTCCCTGCTCCGCATTAGCTTTTAACTTATTCATCAGCAGCCTCGTTCGAGCTTCTGAACCGAGCGGCGAGGACGAACAAGGCGGCAGGTGTCTCGGTTCTGATCCGCTGTGACGGCACGTCGGCGGGTCGACCAGAGTTCAGACCTGCAGGGAGACGAGCAGCGACGCTCCCCGGTTGACTCGGCGCTCCGGCGGGCCTTGGTTATGTAAGAGATAAGCCGAGTGCGAGTCCGACGCAGCGACGCTTCAAAGCACCGCCGCGTCGCCTCCACTGCTGCTGCAACGTGTAAATGAGGAACAACAATGAAGCGGCTTCTTCACCTCGTTACAGCACGCAGCTGTTTGGAGCGATTAGCTGGTTCGTTAGCTTGTACTAATCACCTCTGGGCTCTTTGAAACTGAGACGGAAAGTTGGCGAGTTTTCAGCGTAACAGCAGATATGAAACATTAATTTGAGTCAAACCACTAAGGTGGGAAGATTTCTGCATAACTGAGCCCCTCCAACACTTTAATTCTAGTCTGTGAGAGACCAAAACGAGCTCATTTGACAGCGAGAGGTTTAGAAGGCATTTATTAATTAAAAATGACCAAAATGAAACCACTTTTCTACAGCTGGAAACGCTAAAAACAGAAAGAATCGTCGACTGTCTGATGATTCACATGAACTTAATCCAAAACTAACATATCAAAAAAGTGTCCATAATTACTTGAACATTTTAATTTTTAACCAATTCTTTTGGTCATTTTGAATAAATTTACAGTCATTTCAGTTCCTGTTGATTGTTTGTGATGACACTGGACAAGTTTATGTGACTTTGGACAAGCTTTAAGGTGTTTTGGACGAATTCATTTTTAAAATGTTATGTTACTTTGGACAATTTTCAAGTCATTTTTTGACAAGTTTGCAGTAATTTTGGACAGTTTGAGTCGGTTTAGACGAGCTTCAAGCCAATCTGGACAATTTTATGTCACTTTGGACAAGTTTGAAATAATTTACGACAATTTTAGAGGAAACTCCAACTGACTGGATCAATGAATAAATGCAGCATGGATCAAAACCAGAGGACAGAGGAGCCAGTTGTTGGAGATACATCCAGCATGATGGAACATCTTTCTACATCTGATGGTGGAACATCTTTCTACAGCTGATGGTGGAACATCTTTCTACAGCTGATGGTGGAACATCTTTCTACTGATGACGGTGGAACATCTTTCTTCACGTTTTGAGCCATTGTGGACAGTTTTTAAGTTTTAAATCTGAGTTTTCTCTCTTCCTTCGTGTTGTTCTGTGTCCATAGAGCTGCAGGACTTTATATCCCAGAGAGAAACAAGTCACAGCAAGGAAGAAACACAACAGGAAAAAGAAAAACTGCTCAGAGTTCAGAAGGCTACGGCTGATTTTTGAACACGTAAGCTGACGTTTGTATTTATAACTCGATATCTGCAGAACTCAACGCAGGTTTAAAATACTTCAGGCGAACTTGTGGCATCCGGCGAGTCGGACCTCAGTATCCTGTTGACAGCATCTCTATTGTTCACTTTGTGTTGCTGAGAAAATGCGATTGAAACACAAAAATCAACCTTTAAGGTCAAACAGTGACTCCTGCTGTGACTTTTAGCTGAAGAACGAAGCCTCTACGATCACGTCACGATTCAAAATACGTAGATTTTTCCTTTTAAAGACTTTACAGACAAACATGTCTCTTTTTTTTTCCACATCTAATTCAGCTCAGCTCGGCTGAACAGAGGCTCAAATCCTCTTCCTGAAGCTCGGATCTTTTCAAACACTGGAAACAACCCTCAGCAGATCCCATCAAGCGCGTTTAAAGCGATTACCGTGAACATGTTTTGATCCAAATGCCACCGGTTACTCACGACCTGCCGGCCTCCCGCTCATTGAGTCCAACCTCACAAACAAACCTTTAATCCGCAGACTCCCCGGCAACGAGCGCAGCAAACACATTCTGGCTTCTGTTAAACTTTACATCGAGATGTTAAATCTTTTTGTGATGCGGCTCCTCGGAGCGACAGAAGTCAGAATATTAGAGCCTGTCGTCCTTGAGCGACACATTCAGTCTGTTCTGCTCAGAACGGCTGCAAAAAGAGCATCAGAAAACTTTAGAATAACACAAAAATATCATCTTTTCTGGTATATTATTGAATCTGCAGCTTCTTTCACTTCATTGTTTGAGCTTTAGAGAACCAAACTTGACTTTTTTGTTGCTCAGTTTCAGTTTTCTGCAAACTAAACGCCACATAAACAGCACAAAGACTTTCCTGCTTTTCCACATAACTGAGAATTTAAAGCAAACTTATATTTCAACTAAACCGGGCTTCAGAGAAGGCGGCGCTGTCAAGAATAAAAACAGGTTTGATGCTGAAGAACTGCTGCAAAGCCTTCAAGAAGAAGAAAAGAAATCAACAAAACTTCTGAGAGTCGTTTTTAAGTCGGGGAAGCTGGAGTTATATCTACATCAGCCGTGTTCCAGAGACAAAAACAGCGAAAGAAACAGTCGAAAAAGTCGTTTTTATTTCCCGTAAAGCTCATCGACCGTCTTTGAATGAAATCAAGCCAGCATGACGACTTTTTCTCACATTTTATGTGCAGAAAAATAACACAAAGGAAACCCAAAACCAGGTCAACATTCAGCAGCTATGAAGTGATTTTCCCACTAACGGGTGGAGACCAAACTGGAGCTAATAGGAGACGTCGATTCATCAGCCGGACGCTAAACTCCAGATAAAGCCACGAGATGATTTAACGGCTCGTTTCCGCTGCAGTGGATAAAGAGAAAGCAGCTTAAGCAGGTTTAAGGTCGTGGTGAGCTCTGATCAGGTCGACTTTCTGAACCAGAGAGACACTGAAAGTTTGTTTTCTCTGATAATAAACGCTTTTTGTTCCGTCTGTGAATGTCAACCGACTGTAGATGCAAAGACAGGTGAAAATTCATTTAGAAATGATCAGAAACTTGGAAAAAAAGCCCTTTAACAGTGCCGGCTGAATCTCTGCCTGTGTTCTGACTTTACAGCTGGTTCATTTAAATCCTCTCCTGAGTCGTGGCGTAACCGCGACACGCCTTTAACGGGATGTGTTGTGAAATGTGGACATAAAAAAAAAAAGGTGTGCGTGCAGCTTTATCAAGACTTTATCAAAGGGTTCGTTGTCACCTGCTTGTAAAGTACGAGCAGTAAAACGCAGGCTGCAATAAAGTAAAAGTCAGATTTGAAGGAATGAACGTCAAACATTCGCTGATTGTGTAGTTACAATGCTGAGAAAAGCTCAGTTTTACCGACTTCTGGCTGCAGAATCAGTTGAATATTAATCAGAATTGTTCAATAAATCAACTGTGACATCAACGTTAGCCTGCAGGTGAGGCGTTCAGGGAACATCTGGAAACTGCAGTGAGTGTCAACAAGCAGGTGTTCAGCGAGTGATGCACTTTATTTACATTTAGTCCTTAAAGGTTGCTCTGATTTCTGCTGAATCTTACTGTGAACATTTGTACACTAGCAGGACTTTAACACAACACATGGCATCGCAGTGAAAGAAGAGTTGATTTAAATATAAAAGTGAAATTAGAAGATTTGTTCTGAATATTCTGTAATCTTGACATTGATCAGAACAGCTGTGATGATCATTTTGGCTTTCATCAACCTCTTATTGTTTATTTTTTTAGAATATTTTTCTGTTTTTGACAGAATAAATGTTCACTAAGGATTACAGATACGACATTTTTTGCTGTTAAATTACAGATTTTCTGTTTTGTTGCATTTTAAATAAGAACTACAAGAATCTTTTACAGTGTGTTCCAGTAAAATTAAAGCGTTGTGCTGTAATTCAATCAGCTAAACAAACAAAAAAAATCATTATTTTACATATATTTACCTTTATTTTTACCATTTTAATCAAAGTGTTCCATCGTTTTATTATGTTTTCTGGCACCTTTGCTGTCAGATTTCTACTTTTAATTTTTAATTTATTTTTTTTAAACTAAACAGCTGCCTGCAAAAACTGCTCGAGGAACATGACCAAGAGCCTCGAGCCTCCCCCGAATCCCAATCTGAGCATCTACGGGACGCATTCCAACCCTACAGAACCAAACAGAACCAACATCCTGGACCCATCAGACCCCACAGAGATCCCACATCCAGGCCTTGGAGTCGTCAGAACTTCATTAGAGAGTAAAACACATAACGTGGTGCTGAGAACTGACATTTCTACGACTTGTTTGGGGCATTTTCTTGAGCCAGATGATGTATGACGGACCAGACTCAGCGGTCCACCTGCATCTCAAGGACAAAGGACAGTCTTTTGAAGACAATCATGTCCTGCAGGGAGGACAGATGCTTGGAGAGAGGAGTGAAAGAAGCCATCTGACTGGAGAGACCATCCCTGGACAGAGGTGGAGATCTGAGGCATCACCTCTCACCTGTTTACAGTTCAGTCCTAAGATCTCTCTCCAGGTAGATGAACCCACATCCACACCTAGCCACAAAGACCCTAACGAAC